CTTCGTCTGGCCTCTACCCGTTGACCTTTCAGGCATGATTGGATCTACGGCTGTGAGAAGCCATCCTGTGTAGCTCGCAGGGTCATCGAGGCACACAAGCCATCACACCACGTTAAGGTGCAGTCTCGTCCTGATATATACAAAAATATGCATATGCAAAAATATGCACGAAATTGCACGAATAATGGTTGTGAAGACTGAAACTGAACTATTTTTGAGGCAATGAAGAATCAACTAAACAAACCGGATTCTAAATGAGGCAGAAAAATCCACTGATAGTTCTTAGTCTTTACAATACGCTTCACAATTGACTTTAGAAAGGCAATGGGTTTCAGAAGTCTGTACTTTAATAAGTGGAAATGTGTCAGACACAGAAATAACATCGAAATAGATATGTTCTTACCTCTGATGGAACTGCGTCCAGAAGACCCAGCAATAGCCCTGGATGTGTGACCTGATTGAGATTCGCCGGCTGAGTGTTCTTCACCTCCAGGTGATGAACCCACGTCGTCGTTGTCTGTCGCATCAAATAACAGCATAAGTAGCCGAGTTACCTCCCTGGGTGTCATCAGGGAACTATGTGAAGAGTCCTCAGCGGCAGTAATGGAAGCGCCTAAAGAAACAGTTCTCGCAGAGGCACTCGATGTGAAACTGGTTTCGCTTGAGGGAGTGGAGACTGGAGCAGGAACGGTGGATACAGTTACTTCATCATTCGGCGATGTACTCCTGGACAAGGTCTGATCGGTTTCTTCCGTTCCCGCCATTACGCAGTCTTCTGCCGTGCTTGTGGTTGGATTGCTAGTAGTAGTAGTTGTTGTTGCTGTTGTCGGGTTGTCAGGTGGATAGCAAAGTGGTGCCCGATCGGCTGTTAACTGCATAGCCAAAACTGCGGCTTGGTTCGCATTGAGGTTTGGATGTGCGAATGAAGGTGAAGAGGCACAATTTGGATTGGGGCAATTCGGATTGGAACAGCCCAAACGGAGCTGGTTGAAGTATCGAATAATAAGCTGCTGCACACGAGAATTCGGGTCAATCCTGAGCATTTGGAGTAGAAAATGAAGCCAGTGGTAATCACTTGCCTATGAATACATAAATTGAAGACTTTACGAATATTCCCAGATGCACTCACTTCTAACATCCATACAAACAACTCAGTACCAGCGAGAATACCAATACAAAGGAATGTACCAAAAGTCAATGGCATCTTAAGCATGCAAACTGAGAACTGCATTATAAAATCAATGAAGATATTTGCATTTATATGCGACGCGTACTGCCCGCAATTTGAAACCAAGTGGGAATTTTTCCTAGAGGGGTTCAACTTGTAATTCTACCTACTCGACATGGTTTTTCAGAGAAGGAGAATGAAACAACCGACAGATCACTGGCTTATCTGGAACAACACAGCTACCTTGTAGCTCACGCTTCTTTTCGCAAAGGTAAGAGTGCATCCCCAAACAAAGCTTAATTTGGAGCGGGCCACCAAGTAGTAAAACAGCCCACAATGCAAAACAAAAAGAAAAATGAACTTTTCTATTACACCGGAGTATAATGAACAACAGACGGGGTTCAACCCCATGATCACGAAGACCTGCTATTCAGTGGTGGAGACCGGCAACCTAAGCCCCGGGACTTGGAGTGGCGAACCACATAAGACCCCGAAAGGTTAGGCGTGGTATTGAACCGGACGACAGCAGAGCCACCTAACACCAAACTTCAACTTGTCCAATAATTTGCTCTTACAGCTTTACTCTCTCAAAGAAAAACGTTCTACACAGTGCACATCTTCCCATCTTCCAGTCTTCCCTCCACATCGAATGGAAATTCCGCCCCTATTCTCTCGCGTCCTGCCTCGAAAAGCGACCTTGTCTCAACGAATCCTACTCCACCAGCTGAATCGTCCTCGATGCCCGTTCAAATTAGCCACATTTAATGTTCGCACTCTGATGCGTATAGAACAAAAGACCTGTTTGGCTCGTACCCTCGAGACCCTAGCCATGTGTGTTGTACAAAAGAAAGTCGCATTCAAGACACTAGCTTCATTATCCGACTGACGCCCCTCATCAAACCAATCTGCGAAGTTTCATTTACGCTCTCTGCGTATCCTGAGACTGCGACTTCCGTTCTTGTTGGCATTGGCGTGGCTCCCAGTGAGAGAGCCGGAGCAGCGCTCCTAGATTGGATCCCAGTTGACAGCAGGTTATACGCAGTGAGACGCAATCGTCGCTGCGAAGGACAACCTATTTGTCGTCTCAGCATACGCACCCACTAACTGTAGCCCAGCTACAGATACTTTCTACTAGAAGCTACACGACCGTGAGGGGAATCCAAGCCTTGGGACGTCACAAAGCGCCGGGCTTCGATGGCTTTCTTCCAGCTCTATTCAAAGATGGTGGAACAAAGCTTGATAGAGAACTACAGGTTCCGTTCTCTTAAGTTTGGAACACTGAGCAGGTCCCCTCCTCGGGGTGAGGGGGAATCGATTGTCATCCCTATCTTTACAAAATGGCCCTCATAATGACTGCGCCAACCGTAGTGGTATAGGCCTGATCCCATTTACGTCAACGCTGTTAGCCTCTGTCATTCTTCGTAGATTGTACCAAACGCGCGAGGAACATGCCCGCGAGCAGGCTGGCCTTTGCGCCAGTCGTGGTTGTATCGATCAAATCTTCACCCTCCGACACTGTTTATAAATGGAGTGCCTGAGAGGTGTGTCGATCCTCAAAGACTTGTTTCTTCACACCTCGAGTCGGGTTAGGGCTTATGGGCAGCTTTCGCAACCCTTTGTCGTCTCCAGTGGAGTGCGACAAGGCTACCCTATATCCCATTGCTTTTCAACTTTATAATAAAGGATGCTCTACAAAATGCTTTTTCCGGTCTAGAAAACGGTGGAATCGAACTCCTCCCAGGGAACAGTCCTTGACTTGCGCCAATGACATTGCCTTGTTGGCTGACAATGCACAGGTAGTCCAACACGCTTTAGACCACTTGGTGATAGAAGTATCCAGGTATGTGCTCTACACCATCCAAGTGCAAAGTACTTGCTCAAGACTGACATGAGTCTGTGCCTACACCTACTCTTTTTGGTGATCAGATAGAAATGATCGAAAGCTTTAAGTACCTCGGGATCTTGATCACAGCTGCAAGTGGGGTTGGGGAAGAGATCACATCACGAATAGTGAAGGCTAGAACAGCTTACGCCAACCTACGACAACTGTGGCGCCGCCATAACATCCGACAGTACCTTAAGGGGAAGCGGTTTGTAGTGTTATGCTTTACTGTTGCGAGACCCGGCCTCTCCGAGCGGAGGATGCTAATCGACTTTCCGTAGTTGACCACGATGCCTTTGAAGCGTCGCTCGTGTGCAGTGGGAACATCGGGTGAGCAATGACTAAAATCGTCATCGTGCTGGGTACTGATAGCCACTCTCCGACGGAAATCGTCCTACGTCGCCTACGATGCATATGCCTGCTCATCGTCTACCTCTCCGTGCTCTCTTTGCGCGTGCTGGGCAAAGTTGGAAGAAGCGCGGCGACGGTCAGACCATGACATAGCGTAGGGGTATGAAGAAGTTATCCTAAGCACTGGCTTCGGTTGATGCAGCTCGCCTTCTAGG